CCTGTAATCCCAGCACTTTGGGAGGCTGAGGCAAGAGAATCACTTGAGGCCAGGAGTTTGAGACCAGCCTGGGCAATGTAGCGAGACTCTGTATCTACAAAGAAATTTTTAAAAATTACCCAGGCATGGTGGCACTCACCTGTAAGTGAGCAAAGATGTGGAGAAATGGGAACCCACATGCACTGTTGGTGGGAATGTAAAATGGTCCAGCCATTATGGAAAAGAGTATGGAGATTCCTCAAAAAATTGAAAATGGAATTGTCATATGATTTGGCAATCCCATTTCTGGGTATATATCCAAAACAATTCAAATCAGTATATTGAAGAGAAATCTGCACACCCATTTCATTGTAGCTTTATTCACAATAGCCAAGAGGTAGTAGCAAACCCAACTATTGTTTATCAACAGATGAATGGATAAACAAAATGTGGTATATACATACATTGGAATTTTATGCAGCCTTAAAAAAGAAGGAAATCCTGTCACATGCTACCACATGGATGAACCTTAAGCATACTATGTTAACCAAAAGAAGGTAGTCACACATGGACAAATACTGTATGATTCCATTCATATGAAGTATCTAAAGTAGTCAAAATCATAGAAAAGGAAAGTAGAAATGTGGTTGACAAAGGTTGGGGGAGGGGAAATTAGTGTTTAATGAGTATAGAGTTTCAGTTTTGCAAGATGAAAAAAATCTGGAGATCTGTTGCACAGCAATGTAAGTATACCTAACACTACTGAATACTACACTTAAAAATGGTTAAGATGATAAATTCAATGTTATATATTTTTTGCCACAATGAAAATAATATTTTAAGGAGGCAGGTCTTCTAGATGTATAGATATGGGATGATTTCCTAGATATTGTTAAATAAACAAGCAAGTTGCATAACACTGTGTGTAGTATTTTAATTTTTGTGTTGGGGAGAGACAGAGAGTGAGAGGGAGAGAGAGAGTGGGAGGCTAAAAGGTAAAATAACTCTAAAAGAATGAAAATTAAACTTGATGATAGTGGTTGCCTGGGGAATCTAGTCCGGTAGCTGGGGAGCAGAGCAGGAGCGATACTTTTCTCTATACACTCCTTTGTATCTTTTATATTTTGTACCATGTGAATTTATATCCTATTCAAAAAATAGACGTATTCTTTTTTTTCAGACAAGGTCTTGCTCTGTCACCCAGACCGGAGTACAGTGGCCCAATCATAGCTCACTGTAACTGCTCACTGGGACTACAGGCATGCGCCATTATACCTCACTAATTTTCTTTTTATTTTTTGTGGAGACCGGATCTCACTAAGTATTTTATCCCTTTTGATACTATAGTAAATGGAATTGATTTCTTAATTTCCCTTTTGTATTGGTCATTGTTAGTGCATAGAAATATAACTTATTTTTGAAAAACTTTATATTGAGGAGCTATATGGTATTCTGCTGTATGGATGCTTCATTATTTTATTTAACTAGTCTCCTATTTGGGAACATCTATATTGTTTCTACTTTTTTTTAAAGAGACAGAATCTTGCTATGTTGCCCAGGCTGGCCTCAAGCTCCTGGGCTCAAGTGATCATCTGCCTCAGCCTCCTGAGTAGCTGGGACTACAGGAGCACACCACCATGCCTGACTATCCAGTGTTTTGATGTTACAAACAATGCTGCAATGAGTAGTCTTGTGGACATCTCATTTTGCACATGCAAAGTGTACCTGTTGGATAAACTCTTAGAAGTTAAATTGCTGAGTTAAGGAATACATGCATTTCAAAATTTCATAGATATTGCCAAAACATTGTGATTTTGACATAAAATAGGGATTTTGAAGGTGTTTATTAAAAATTATGAGCGTAAGTATTTTCTTATCCAATTTGCTCTTATAGGTTATTTACCTTGTCTTTCTTCCAAAACAAATAAGCAAATTTACAAGTAATGCATTTTTGGTCAAGAGTTGGAGAAAGGGTTCTATGTTGATTTCTGTAGCAACTTGAAGAAAAAATGTGAATGAGATGTGTACCAGTGAATTTTTTCTCCTTCTTCTTTTTTTTTGTTAGAGACAGGGTCTTACTCTGTGGCCAGGCTGGAGTGCAGTGGTGTCATCATAGCTCACTGCAACCTCAAACTCCTGGGCTCAAGTGATCCTCCTGCCTCAGCCTCCCGAGTAGCTAGGAATACAGGTGCATGCCACCATGCCTGGGTAATTTTTTTATTTTTGTAGAGACAGGGTCTCGCTCTGTGTGCCCAAGCTGGTCTTGAACTCCTGCCTCAAGCAATCATCCCGCCTCAGCCTCTCAAAGTGCTAGGATTACAGGCGAGAGCCACCACACCGGGCCCCAGTAAATTTTTTCTGAAATACTGTTGATGGGAACCTATTGAGAATCATCACTGAAAGTGATACACCTATATGTATATCAGTAAAACTTTGTTAGTAATCCTTTAAGAGCAAAGGGATTCTCTTTTGTATGATTTACAAATATAGTGAGTTATAGTACATTTAAAAAAATTTGTGATTATGGTTTTTCTTTATTAAGATGTTTCTCTATTTGTGAGATTTGTCATTCGAAGCTGTTTAGTGTTAAGAAGTCTTGTTACCAAGAGCTAGTTTAAAAATAATGGATGTATATAAATTAGAAAGAAGTGAATACCAACTATTTCTGCTTTGAAAATTTCAATTCAGTGAAATGAGCCAGGCACAGAAAGATAAATACTACATGTTCACCCTCACATGTGGAAGCTAAAAAAGTTCATCTCATAAAAGTAAAGACCAGAATAGTGTTTATCAGAGGCTGGAAAGTGTAGGTTAAAAGGGAGGACAGGGAGAGAGGTTGGTTAACAGATACAAAATCATGGCTAAATAAGAGCAATAAATTCTAGTGTTCTATGGCACTATAGGGTGACTATAGTTAACAATGATCTATTTTATATTTTGAAATAGCTAGAAAAGGGGATTTTGAATGTTCCCAAAAAAAGAAATGATAAATATTTGAGGTGATGGATATATTAATTACCCAAATTCGATCATCACACATTGTTTACATATATCAGAATATCACACTATACCCCATAGATATATATAATTATGTATCAATTAAAAACTCAAAAAAATACCTATTATAAGAAAAAAGAAATAAAAACTTACCATATCAGATAGATTTTCATAAGCAAAAAAAAAATAAAATAATTTAATTCATATAGAAAATGGCCTGTTTGTGGCCGGGCGCGGTGGCTCACACCTGTAATCCTAGCTCTCTGGGAGGCCGAGGCGGGCGGATTGTTTGAGCTCAGGAGTTCGAGACCAGCCTGAGCAAGAGTGAGACCCTGTCTCTACTGAAAATAGAAAGAAATTAATTGGACAACTAAAAATACATAGAAAAAATTAGCCGGGCATGGTGGTGCATGCCTGTAGTCCCAGCTACTCGGGAGGCTGAGGCAGAAGGATCGCTTGAGCCCAGGAGTTTGAGGTTGCTGTGAGCTAGGCTGACGCCACAGCACTCTAGCCAGGGCAACACAGTGAGACTCTGTCTCAAAAAAAAAAAAATGGACTGTTCACTATTTTTCCTATACTTAAGCCTGTTTGATAGCAAGCATGTTTGTGTGCTGTCTTGTGATGGAGGAGACCAAGGAGGAAAAAATGACTACTGTAAATTGTATGTTTAAGTGATATCTAATATTTGGAAGATAAAAAGAAATCAGTATAGTAGATACAGAAGGCTGGTTTCTACAGTTGGCAATGGAATTCGAACATTCCAAAGACGATTTGAAATGTGTACAGGCTTCTGTTGATTAAAAAGTTGCCTGAGCCTGTCAAGGTTATCAAAGTGTTCCATTCAAAAACGGCTTATCTCTTGCTATTTCAGTAGGAAGCAGCAACCCTGTCACCTAACTACATCAGGAGCTCTTGCACATTTCAAGAAAAATAAATAGAATAAACTAAATCATGCATGGCAGAATAAATTCGGAAATAAAATTCAAAACATAAATTCAAAACACTCAAAATATTCTATTTTAGAGAACTGATTTGTGATCAGCAGAGATTACCAATGTAGACTCAAATTATAGAAAATAAAAGCTGGAAAGCCTTTTAGAGATCATCTAACCAAACCTCCTCTGTAATGAGGAGGAAGCAGATCAAATTGGTTGGTTTGTGAGCTAGACATAACATCAGACTGGGGAAATGGCCGATGTGTATGTGTATGTGCGTTCTAAGTGGCAGTTTAGTTTATTCAATATCAAAAGAATTGTATGTAGATCTCAAGTTGGTCTTATGTCACATACCCACATATGCATACATGTAATATATAAGTACAGTATATATACATATGCATTTGTAAGTATGTTGGCATAGAGTATTAAACATAAAACATCTAGGAAAGAAAAGAATTTGAGGGTAATCCAGAATACGGGAAAGAAATATTTATATACGATTTCCATATAGATTGTATGAATCTCGGCTCCTTTACTGCGGGACTTTTGTGTCTCTGTTTCCTCACCTGGAAAATGTAGGTCTGTCTCAAAGTGTGTAGAGATTAAATGAGATAATTCAGATAAAGGATTAGTGTAGTGCCAGGCATATAGTAAACTCTCAATAAACGTAAGTTGCTGTTATTGATTCGTCAGTATGTCAAAGAAAAGAGGATGGACCAAAAGATCATTTTCAGAATAAAGTCAAAATACGTCACTAGCACTTTCAGGTCAATTGGGACTGAACTGGACCCCCTGCGAAAAGGTGGTGGGGATCAAATGACGTCGACCGCCATAGCAACAGACCCCCAAAGAAGGTGAATTTCCGTAGCCAATAAGGCTCTGCGCTGTGGAGGTGGTAGCCAATGGATGACGGAAAAAGGAAGAGGGAGGACGCGCCAATTCTGCTGCCTGAGCCTCGGCCCAACAAAATGGCGGCGGCGGCGGCGTCGCTTTGTTTCCGCGGCTCCTGCAGCGGTGGCAATGGTAGCGGCCTTTGAGCTGTGGGGAGGATCCAGCACCAGCTACAGTGACGACTAAGATTCCAGTGCATTTCTGTCTTAACCGGGCGCCAGGGAGTGCAGAGCGGCGCCCGACGGTGGCAGAAGCCGACAAGGCATTCAAGCGAAAACATGACCACTGAGCCCATGAGGTAAAACGCAACGCCGTCTCTTGGGCCCCAGCAGTCGGGGCCTAGGCACCTTCTGAGTCGGGTGTTTGGGAAGGCTTTCGCTTGGTGGGTTAGGCCTATGTGTTGCTTGGCGGAAAGAGGCATCGTTTTCTCTTTAGGTGAG